TTAGCTCTTTTATGACTTGTGGACTTCAACTCCCAGAATTCCTGAGCCAGCCACGCTGAGGGGAAAGGGAGAGGTTTCTAAGCTGAGCCATGCTGGCTCAGGAATTCTGGGAGTTGAAGTCCTCGAGTCATAAAAGAGCCAGGGTTGCCTACCCCTGTTCTAGGGCAAGAAGCAATGGGTGGAAGCTCCTCAGAGGGAAATGGAAATAAGAAGGAATTTACTGACAGTGGGAATGATTAATCAGTGGAACAGCTTGCCTCCTGGAATTATGGGTACTAGAGTTTTTTTAAAAAAAGATTGGACGACCATTTCTCCGGGATGTTATAAGAACTCCTGCCCCGGTCAGGGAGTTAGACTAGAACAGCGGTTCTCAACCTGTGGGTCGGGACCCCATTTGGGGTCAAATGACCATTTCATGGGGGTCGCCAAACAATGCAGTCCGCCATTTTTTTTCCCCTTTTCCTTAGCTGTGCTACTCCCTTTTATTCTATTGGCTTTTGAAAGCCAATAGAATAGACTCTCTTGAATAGAGACTAATTCTATTGGCTTTTGAAAGCCAATAGAATAGACTCTCTTGAATAGAGTTTAATTCTACTGGCTTTCAAAAGCCAATAGGAATTGTCCAGGCTGTCTCTGCCCTGCTGAGCCCGCCAAAAGTCCCATTCTGCAAAGGGTGCTGCACCAGTTGAGTAGTCCTCGACTTACGACCGGTTGAGTAGTCCTTGACTTACGACCGGTTAGGGATCGCAGCATTAAAAAGGTTGAGAACCACTGGACTAGAAGATCTCCAAGGTCCCTTCCAGCCCTATGTTTTTATGATTCTAAGTTCAGGAGTATATTGAAATACTTGAATATTGTGTCTCATCTAACAAAATGCTTTTACATGCTGAGGAATATAGAATGTTGCGCTTAATAGGAAAAATCTGGTAAAAAGGTACAGGGTAGGAGATACACAGTTTGGCAGCAGTGTGTGTGAGAAAGAACTGGGTGTCACAGCACGCATCAGCCAACAATGTGCTGCAACTGTTGAAGGATGTGATGTTGGCTTCCAAGATAGCGTTGAGATCCAGACAGTTCTGCTTCGTCTTTTCTGCCTTGCTCAGCCTACGCCTTGGACACCGGCTCCGGTTCTGCTTATCACCCTAAAAAGAAGGGGGGAGGGCAGGTTATGGCATGAAAGCTGGAGAGGGTCTTGGGGGCCAAACCCTATACAGGGAGCAAGACCTGGGCGTGTTTAGCCTAAGAAAGAGGCAGGAGAGCAGCTTTCCCAGCCCCAGGGAACATGGGAGGAAGCAGCCTTAACAGGGAGAGATCCAGATTCAAAAATAAGGTGGAAATTCCTGCATCGGAGAGCTCTGAAGCAGCTCCAAATCTCTTGGATTCAGGGAGGTTTCGAGGTAGAGGCTGGATAGCCAGTTATTGGAGTGGGGTCTGAGGCTTTGGGAGAGGGTTGGAGTCCCCGATTCTGTGATTCTGTAGCGATGCCTGTTTGGAATGCAACAGTCCCGTTGTGCGCCACTGACCAGCGTTTTATAGCCAGTACAACTCGCTTTTTTTTTTTTTTTGATGTATAGAAACATTTCCAAAATGCTCATTTAGTACTTGAAAGGGAAGGTTTTGTGAGGTTTCATGCTCATATTCTTTCCATACTCTGCCCCAAAATGGATTAACAGGAAGTAATGATTGTGAGCGGCCTCAGTGAGCCTTTTGGCTTAGCAGTTCTGCCCCATTCTTGGCGTTTGCTGCTGAACGAATGCAACGCAGGCAGGTGTGCCTCCTGCTGGTAGTGGTGCATCAGCAGCTGCCAAGCCCTTCTCTGCATGGCGGTTCCCCTCCTGGCCTTGGGGAATCTCTGCTCTCCGGCATCACAGCCTTCATTCTCCAGAAAGGGTGGGGGGGTGTCTGCAAAGGCCCAAAAACTGCTCTTGACCATTGGAGATGCCAGATGCCCTCTTTGGCTCAAGCTTCAAGTAGCCACTCTTTTTCGGGGAGGGGGGGGCTGCTGCTGGAGGTGTCTGTCTTGGGGGGCACGAGGTCTGTGATGTCTGTACTTGTGCAAACGAATGGCAGGGGTTCTCCTGCAAGAAGACAGGAAAGGATTGTGTAATTTTCCAGATGTGCTTGTCTTATTGGTTGTCAGGAGCCCCTGTGATCTTAGCTTCCTCAAAAGGAAAAAGCACCACCCTGATGTGGCTCTTTGGTTCTTCTGTCATGCTCTGCAGCCTCCCTTGCTTCTTCTCGGGCCTTTTGAGGCCTGCAGCCAGCAAGAAAAGTCCTCAGCACAAAATGTGCAACAAAGTGTGTGTGGTGTGTGTGTCTGTGTTTCAGCTCTTCCTCCTGAAAGGCACTTCCTCTGGGCAGGCTTCCTTCAGAGCCACTCTAAGGCCATAGCTTGCTACCCCGAGCTGTAGCTACCCCGCTCAGGCCCAGATCCTTCCTGGATCCTGAGCGGGAGGACCAGCCTCTACAACATGCAGGCTTGATGGTCTAGTTTGAAGACAAGACCGGCTGGTCACTCTTCCTAATCAGGTTCCTAGGCTATTCTGCAAGTTGTTTGCAAGGATTAAGGATGGTGCTGTTCTATGGGCAGAGTAGCCCTCCCCATGCCAGCCAGACAGGCAGCAAAGAGGAGGGCTGCAGCAATGGGGGCCTTGGCTGGAGATTATGCAAAGAGCAGACTTGTTCTTCAGTGTGGTGTTTCAGGATGAAGCTGTCAGCTACTTGTGAAAACACGTAACACTTTGCTAGGTTCACATGTTGACTGGATCAGTGGTGGGCTTCCACTGTTTTTCGGGCCCTTGGAGCTGATTCTCCCCCCCCCCCAGGGCCAAGTACCGTCTTTTGCTGTCCAAGTGCTGAGATGTGCAATCCACTCTAGCTAAGTTCACACAGCTGTCCAATCCAAAACCCCAAACCTACATATTTCCACCTTCCGTTCCCATCTTGAGGCCTTTGGGGTGTGAAGCATCCCCGCCTGCTACTGGCAGCTCCCTGGACTCTTGCCTTGCTGCAGGAGGTCTGGCAGTTACAACTCTGGCCTCCTCAGAGCTGGGAGCTGCAATGATGATGATGGTGGAACTGGGATCTTTTGTAGAACGGAGGTCAGGACAAACCGAAAGCAAGAAGGAAGAGAGATGCTGGTCAAAAGGCAGGAGGATGTGGACCAGAGCCCATTGGAAAAGGGAGCTTCTCCGTTGACCAGGTGCTGGGTGACTGGCCTTGAGCTGATCCAATCAGATAACAGGTTAATGAATGGACGGTCAAGAGGCCACTCCCAGCGCAAAGCAAAGAGGGTGGACAGCCTGGGAAAGAGGAACGCAAGGGTAGCTGGAGCGGCCTCTTTTGCAGGTCAATCCCATTTGGTGGTTTTTTGTGTTCCGCAAGAGAGTTCCAGAGGCCAGGATTAACTAGTTGGGCTGATCGTGGCTTGTATCTAAACCAGTGATGGCGAACCTTTTAGAGACCGAGTGCCCAAACTGCAACCCAAAACCCATTTATGTATCATCGGGTGCCGGGTGGGCGTGGCCCATTGGGTGAGCGTGGCTGCAGTGGTAAGGGCAGGCTGGGTGGGACTAAAAAGTTCAATCAATTCCAACTTTGCAAGATCTTTTTTTTTCCTGCGAGAAGTTGAAATTGATTGACTGAACCCTTTTTTTTTTTTTTGCACACGGCGGCGGAGGCCTAAAGCAAAAACATTTTATAAAACCCAGCTGAAGGCCTAGGACTGGGGCAATGGCATGCGTGCCCACAGAGAGGGCTCTGAGTGCCGCCTCTGGCACCCGTGCCATAGGTTGACCACCACTGATCTAAACTCTGTTACAAGGTGATCACCCGAGCAGAGTCCTGGCAAGCTGAAGCTGGGGCTGTGGAGGAGGCAGCGGGCTTTGGGTCACTTAGGTTCTCCACCAAAGACTGTGGCCGCCCCGGGTGGGGCAGAGTGCACCAACCCCATATCCTGCGCAGTGACGCAGCAGCCCCTGAAGCTGCCCAGGAGCCCCATCCGCCCCCCAGGGACATCAGGAAGGGCGACATAATCGCGTAGAGCAGCCAGGAGGATCAGCTGGGACTTGCTCCTGGTGAAACTGATGGACTGCAGGCAGGAACTCTGTATGAACTGTCCTCGGACGATTGGACAAGAAATACGAATGAAAATCGGCTTCAGAATGCTTTCTACAGAACCCTGTTGAACTCATGCAGAGTGTCAGAAATATTACGCAGTTACACATGTTATAGTCGTTAAAAGTTAACCACATTTCTCAAGATTCCTATGCAATACAGTCACTTTGAAATTATATTTGTATTCAATCTGAAGGGTCTGCCGTAACCACCAAAAGTTTTTCAGGAAGCAAAACCGTGGAAAAAAGGTGTTGACTGGTGATGAAGCGAGCCATAGCCGGGCCGAAAGCCGTCCCCCACCCTTCCAAGGGGGTCGTCTCCTTTCCTGAGCAGCATGGCTGGCAGCCTGACCTCGGAAGACAGCTGGAGCCTGAGCGGTCCAGGCTGACCAGGATTCAAGCAGCAGGGAAGGCAGGCTCCTGAGGGGTCCTTGAGAGGAGCCAGAGCCCCAGACCCTCCATTAGATGGGGCCAAATAGAGGCCGGCATCAGGGTTGTAGGAGGGAATAATTTCACAAGAAACGGGTTCTTGGGCAGAGCACAAAAGGTGCCTGCTGATTAGAGGATTTTGTGGGCTGAATAGCCCAGCGCCCTCCCCATGCCCAGTTCTCTCCTGGCATCCTGGGAGCAGCCAAGGCTGCCTCAGAAGTTCCAAAGGGGGCTTGTTGAAAAGGTAAAGCAGAGTATGGGCGCTGTAGTCCTAGAGAAGGAGGAGAAGGCACGAACCTTATGTAGAAAATGGCACTTGCTATGAGAAGGTCCACCTGGCCCTCTGAAGGTTTTTTTTTCCCCATCGGACTCTAGCAGTGACCTGCCAGGTGGCCTGGCCCTGGCCTTCGCTTGCCTTCCTCTTCCTGACAATCCTGTCCTCTTTCTTTCTTCCAGTGAAATTCTGGCCTGGGCCAGTGCTCAGATCCACTGCCAGTTGCACACCAGCGAGACCCGGGTTGCTCTGCCACCTTCACAAGATACCAGCTTTGATGCCCAGGCGGAAAATGAGACTGTCTTTGTGCCCAATAGAGGTAAGTTGCATCTCAAGGAGGGAGCCTCAGGGGGGCTGGGCTGGTGTCCATTGCCTGATCCCAGAGGATCAAAATGGGAGCCCCTGGGACTTGGAAAGGGAGGCCATTGCCGGTCTTCCAAGTGAGGTACGACAGACTGAAGAGTGCCCTGAAAGTGGAGCCAACAGTCGTGGCAAAGACCACAGAAGCAGTGAGTGGACCGCTTCCTTGGAGTTTCTCTGGATAAGGAGAGGATGGGAGATCGCCTGCATAGGCTTTGGATGACTACTCTTCATGAGTGTAGGCTGCAGGACGGTGCTTTTCTGTGGTTTTGAGTGCCAGGAGACAAAGGGATCGCTTGGTCACAGCTGCTGCAGAGACTTTGAAAGGACACTGTCATGGTTCTGATGCTAAAGACCAATTAAGTCAGAACTCCAAGGCTAGAGGTTTCCTCAAAGAACATGTTTATTGCTTACAAAATATCTGCACGGGCAAAAGTGAAACCAAGTCTGAAATTCCCTCCAAAGAGATTATTACAAAGTCAAGCTTTCCACCCTAGTGCTATGCAGTCGGCTATGTACTAGAATAATTTGATGGGCTTTCTAACAAAACACCCAACCCTCTAAGCCAGTGGTGGTGAATCTATACCACGCGTGCCAGAGGCGGTACTCAGAACCCTCTCTCTGGGCATGTGCGCCGTTTCCCCAGCCCCATCTCCTCCCGCGGCCCCTTCCTCACCAGCAGCCCCAGGAGGAGAGTCACCCCCAGCACGGCCTGCAAGGAGCAGCGCAGCCAAGGACATGGCAATTGGGCAGCGGAGACAAGAGTCCGCCCTTGTGCCCCAGTGCGTGCAGTTGATGCTGAGGGGCACAGGTGGAGGGCGTGGCTACCATTGTGCTGCTGGGCCGCCTGGGCGATCTGCAGTGGACCGTGGAACCGGTGGGTGGGCAGGACGGGAGTGGGACAGGGTGGGTGTGGAGCATGCGGTGCAGGGTGAGGACGGTTTTTGGGCACTCGGTCTCTAAAAGGTTTGCCATCACTGCTCTAAGCTAACCAATAGAATGACCTTGGTTCCCACGGACACAGAATTGTTTAGACTAGCAAAAATAGTCCACACCCCCTCCCTTTCAGGTGGCAACCTAGAACGAGCATGATGGCTGCAGCCAGGTTCCTTGTAGAGTTGACAGACACAAAATTTGCAAACCTCACTTGCTAATTACTTTTGGAAATTGCCCATTAACTCCTCATAAGCTATTAAAGGCTTTTGGACCATAAGTCTTCCTTCAATCCTGAAGGGCAGCCCAAAAGGGCAGAGGTGGGGAGAATAGGCGGGGGGGGGGGGAGTTGCAGGGCTCCTGTGGTCATATGTGCTGCTAGGTAGGGGGGTTGAGTCTTCCAGGGGCAGCTGCGGCTTTGCAATGCAGCCCCCTCCTCCCCCCTTTGCGCACACAGCCTGTGCTGAGCCTCCCCCACTCCTTGAGCCACCCCCACAATCCTTATCTGGGGTTCTGCCCTCTTAATGGATCACAATTCTTGTGTAACCACAACCGGAAGAGCCCAGATTGCAGTTGTGAAGCGAAGTGGTCACCTGGCATCTCACTTAATGATTGCTCTGTTCAGCGACAGAGATTTTGGTCCAATTCGTGCTTGTACGTCGAGGTGACTTGTACATTGTTACTTCTGATAATCCTTGGCAGGCTGGTTGCTGGCACCGGGACCGATCGAGGAGGAGGATCATATAGATTACAAGAGAAGGGATCTGGGATCAGGAGATTGACATTTGTGGCCTTCAGGGGGATGAGGGGGTGGCTAAATTTCTTTATTGCTTGAGATGATGGTTGGAAGTCACCATTTTTTTTCTCTTTATTGCATTCTTGTTTTTCTTTTCTTTTTTTTGTATTTTTCTCCTTTAAGTCTAGTTTGTATTAGATTTCACTATTATAACCAATAAAAGTTACATTAAAAAAAATAGAACAGGAAGGGGAAGGCCTTGCTGTGGGCTAGTGACATGCGTTGCCTTGCAGGGGAGCGGGGTCAGTGCATCCTGTCGACACCCCCAAAGATCCTCTTCTGTGACTTGAGGCTGGATCCCGGCGAGTCCAAAAGCTGTGAGTGCTGCCTTCCCCCCGGGTTGCCCAGAGGGGGGATGATGGGTGGGTGGTTGCCCCAGAGCCGCAGATGGGCAGCAGGAGGGGCTGAGAGCAGAACCCGCCTAACGAGGTTCAGTTTCCTTGCCTGCCCGTGGCTCAGCTGGCCTGGCTCAGCGGCCCCTCCCTCTGCCCCCAGACTCCTACTGCGAGACGCTGCCAGTGGACGGACCGCCCTCCTTCCGTGGCCAGGCAGTAAAGTATGTCTACAAGCTGACCATCGGCTGCCAGCGGGTGAACTCGGCCATCAAGCTGCTCCGGGTCCCCTTCCGTGTGATGGTGCTGCAGGGTAAGCCCCCCTTGGCCTCCGCCTGGAACTCCAGCCCGCCAGACCTCTGACTTTGTGCCCCCGTCTCCCCAGGGCTCAGAGACTACCCCTTCCCCCAGGATGAGGCCGTGGCCCCCTCAAACCCGTTCTTGGAGGAGGAAGAGGGCAGCGTGAAAAAGACATCCCGCCTGGTGGACCTGGCCACAGAGCTCCTGACGGTCGCGACTTCACGGCGGAGTTTGCGTGAGTCCCCTCTCCCGCCGGATGTTCGTCCCTTGTGGCCCTCACCAAAACCCACCAGGGTCCTCTGTGGCTGTGGGCCCCATCCTTGGTCTCCAGTCCCCCATAGGGGGCTCCACCTGTGCCCTCCCTTCCATCGTGCCCAGTGGTTCCTTTGGAAGAAGGTGTCCAAGTGTCCCACAGCCCCTTCCTGACCCCAGCAGCCGATGCGAGGCTCTCCTTGTGAGGCTGAGCACAGCAGGCCTGGACCCCTGACCTTCCATCCTGGGCACCTCTGTCAGCCTCAAGAGGCAGCTCCCCATGGGGCCCTGCAGCCCAGGTGACTCCCTCCCCTTTATAAGCAATGCTGCTTCACTTGGGGCCTGTGCTGGGCCACAGAGCCGCCCCAACCACCCCCAGCCTTAGGGCAGCGCTGTCCATCCCCAGACTTGTTCAACATCAGCAGTGCCCAGGGCCGAGTGGCCACCTTCTGCATCTTCAAGACCATCTACAAGATTGGGGAGGACGTGGTGGGGACCTTCAGCTTCTCCAAGGGTGACACGCCGTGTCTGCAGGTGAGGGGGGGGCTACCCAGGGATTGTGCAGACGGAGGATCAGGAGGCCCACCTTTGCTGACAGTCTCTGTCCCCGCCAGTACCTGGTGAGCCTGCAGACGGAGGAGCGGGTGCAGGACGCCTTCCAGCGCCGCAGGGGGCAGGCTGCGTCCTATAGCACCCACGCCCGGCACCAGGAGTCCTGCCTGCACACGGCCCGGACCAGCTTCAGCCTGCCCATCCCCCTCAGCTCGGCCCCAGGATTCAGCACCAACGTCGGTGAGCCTGCTGAGTCGGAGCTCCTGAAGCAGCCCTGGTCTTCTGGGGGAGCCCTCCCAGAAGGGAGCTGGGGCAATGGGGGGGGGCTGCTCTCACAGCCTCGTGTGGCGGGGAGGTGAGCAGACCAGCCTGGCTCCCCTTGCCCTGAGTGCCCACCTGCCTGCCTTCCACAGTGTCCCTCCAGTGGAGGCTCCACTTTGAGTTTGTCACTCTGCGGGACGTGGCCGAGGCGCCCGTGACGCCCAAGGACCCATCGGAAGCCGCCAGCTGGACAGGAGTGGAGCAGATGGACGTGGACACTTTCAGCTGGGACTTGCCCATCAAGGTGCTGCCCACCAGTCCCCTGCTGGCCACCTCTGTCTCGCAGTTGCCCAGCTGCAGCGCTCTCACCATCTAGACTGGCTGGCAGGAGAGAAACTGGGTGACCCTGGAAGGCTCCTTCTGACACTACCTGAAGCCTGGGGACTCTTCCTCCTCCGTTGGCAGGCTGTGGCCGGCAAGACCTGGCCCCTGTTCTGGCTGGAGCATTTTTCCTCCCCATGGAGACCCAGTGAAGCCCTTGCCCTTCCCTGTACCTTAGGAAACAGCTATGTTGAAAAGGGGAGGGGCCTCTTTTCTGCTCTTCCACCCCACCCAACAGTCTCTTTTGTGTCTGTCAATAAATGGTTCTCCTACCCCCCCCCCCATGTGCCCATGGCAGCTTCCCCACCCCAGGATGCAGGGGAGCAGGCCAGGGGCCCGCGTGCCTGGCTGGAGGATGAGCCCTGCCCTTTGACCCAGGAGCCCCACTTCTGCAGCAGGAGGAAGGAGCAGGAGCCCAGGATAGTCCCTGGCTGCCCTGCCACCTACCTGGGACCAGGGAGCAGTGTCGGAGGGCACCCTCTGTGTGCCCAGGAGTGGGGGAGAAGGGTGCAGGCTGGGTGGGGCTTAGGGGGAGAACAGAGCGGGGGGTAGTGGATGGAAAGTGGCCATTCTCCACATTTATTGTGGCTGCCAGGAGGGAGTTGGTTGAGGAAGGAGGTGGTACTCATGCTGGGACCCCCAGCGAACAGGCAAGCGCCCTTTTGGCCTGGCAAAGTCTGCTCTAGCTGAGCCAAGGCAGATCCTGGCCCCTCGGCCAGTGCCTCTGCTGTGGACATAGCTGCTTCGGGAGGGGGAGGCCTTGAGGAAGCCCTGTGCGGGCAGGGCCAGATGGGGCCACGTGGCCGACAGACGGCTCCTCTTGCAAGGCCAGCACAGCTGAGGGCAGTGGCCGGTTCTTTGGCTTCACGCAAGTACACAGAACACTGAACCTGTGGCTCCTGTGAGGCCTCCGTGCCTCAGCCTCTCCTTTGGCTTCAGCTGGTTGCCCCTGGGAAAAAGCTTCCCTTGTGGAAATCCAGGTAAAATCTCCCTCCTCACACCTGAGCTATTCTCTCTGGTGCCCGAGGGGTGCTGTGCAAACATCTCTGTCTTATTTGCGCAGCTCGCCAAAGGGGCTCCCTGGCTGCCTTTGCCGTGCAGAGAGCTAGGCGACTTTTCGCCTTGGTTGGCTTTCTTCACGTCTCTCGCACGCAAACCATCGGCTTCCCCCAGACTCCACCTGGGCTTCCACTCTGGAGAGGAACCGCTGAGGGGTGGGGTCCCAGGTGGGGGGCCCTGGCAGGAGCTGGATCCCTGCTTAGTGAAGACTTCTGGAATTAATGGGTTCCATTTCATTCCTGATAACCTGGGAAGAGGGTTCTCCAGTCGAGCCCTTCTCCCACCCAGCACTGGTTGGCTGAGACCGGAGGGACAAAGGCTCACCCCCTGATCCCAGCAGCCCCTCTTGCTGGAGGAGTACTAGGGCAGGCCCCGGAGCCCCCATGGTTCTGGTGGGCAGGACTCGGGTGGCGCAGTGGTGGGCTCCATTCCGAAGCATCGGGCTCCTCCCTGAGGGGCTTTGGCTGGTAGACAATCCCCACCTGGGTCTTTGTGGGTTTCAGTTCCTGCTAACCTGGATACTTCTTTGGCATTTGGGGGGGAGGGGTCTGCTTGGTTCACGGTGGGGTCTTGTGGGAAAACAGTTCAGTCTGGCCACTGCCCTTCCCGGACCCTTCCCCGCTTGGCTCCTTTCCAGAGCCCTGCAGCAACTCTGGTTTCAGAGATTATGAAAAGAAGTGGCTGCTGGGGTGGGGCATGAGACACAAGGTCCCTCTCCCCACTGGAGGTTCCCAACAACCCAGTTCTGGCCAGGATTGCAGTGTGGGCTGTGCTCCATTTAATAGCCGGGGGGGAGGGGCATTTTCCTGGGTTTCATGTTTGATCCCAGGCCTGCTTTGTATTGTGTGATTCTGCAAGAACGTAGCCAAGCTCTTCAGATCTTGTAATCCAATCTTACTTTGGTCAGTGAAGAGTTTGGCTTTTCTTACAGCCCTTAAGTTACTCTGTAACTCAAGTTACTTCTTTTTACCTTTTTAGGGAAGAAATTTTAGTATAAGTGGTGTCGTTCCCTGTGAATTTAATTGAACGATCACTAAATAAATGGAAGTAACACTAGGGAGTTGTGTCTTGCTGGTGTTTTGCCATCAGGCTCAGTGGAGGTAGAACGTCATTAGTGCCTGTTTCAAATGATAATTATCAAATTTATTGACTTGGTTTGATTTCCACAGATGGACACAAAATCTAACCTCCACTTGCTTTTGGGATGGAGGGAACCGATGCTATCCACTCACTAAGAGGCTCCATGACTGCTAGGTTAACCCTTGTCTGCCCCTCTTTCCTTGCTGTATTTCTTAACCTCTCCAAAGTCCCTTCCAACATTATTATTATTATTATTATTATTATTATTATTATTATTATTATTATTATTATTATGGATCATCGCATAGTCAGCCAGCTGTTCAGACTGGATTTGGCATTTTGTCTACCTATCGAGTCCTTATCCAGGACCTGGGATGGGCAGATGTGGATGTTTGATGGTATTACAGATATCGTCGCAGGATGGAAGCAGTTCCTAGTAAGGCCGCCTTTTGCAATTGACTGATAGCGAATTTGTCAATGCCAATGGTGTTCAAGTGGTGCTCCAGTTGTTTTGGGATTGCACCCAAGGCGCCTATTACTATTGGTACTACCCTTGCTTGCTTTTGCCACAGTCTTTCTATTTGTAGGTCTTTGTATTTTGTTATCTTCTCCAGTTCTTTCTCATCTATTCTGCTGTCTCCAGGCACTGCCACGTCCCACTATCCAGACTTTTTTGTCTGTCTTATCGACAATTATTGTTGTTATTATTATTATTATTAAGAGGTAAAAGCAGCCAGGAAGGGAGTGAGTCCAGGAACCCTGAGGGAAGGAGGCAGAAGTCCTCACTGGACCAAGAAATAAATACTTCCTCACTCATTGCCCTGTCCTCCTTCCTGGTTGAGATGCCCTCTGGCTGGATTGGAGCAAGGAAGCAGAAGCACTTCCGTTCCTTTGGCTCCCTCTGCTGGTGGTGATTGGAGGTGGGTGGTCTGGACTTAGTGAGATTGGGCGAGGGAGAAAAAGGGGACATGGATGCCAATAGAGGGGGTGCAGTTTCCTTGAATCTACTATGGAGCTGGTCCAGCGTGATGCTGTAGAGAGTAAAGACAAAAGCCTGGATAAAGGGGAGATTGCTACCAAAGCAATAGGGAGGGAAACCTAAGAAGGCATGAGCAAACATCAGAAGGAGACTCCCCCTGCTCCACAGGAGAATAAGAAACTGAGGAGAGGAAATATAATCAAACTTGCAAGGTTCTGGTCCTGTAGATCCTGCCAATCTTTTAACAAAGTACTTTTAATATGGAGCCTGGTCTAAGTAAAGCCACTGAGAGATCCAAGAGGTCCAGGATGGTTGCATCCAGTGGTGGGATTCAGACGGTTTGCACCACTTCGGCAGGACTGGTAGCTAATTTTTTGTTGCCCGGGCCCAGAATGGACTTCTGGAAATGGCATCCACACAGAGAACCAGTTGCATCCCCTCCATCTGCTTCAGACGGGAAGGTGGTGCAGAGAGTGGTGAGGATGGCCAAAAAGATCATTGGCAGTTCCCTCCCTCCCATCCAGAACATAGCATAGAAGCGCTGCTTGAGCAGGGTCCGCAAGATTGTCTGGAACACTACACATCCTCTTCATGACCTGTTTTCCTTGTTCCCTTCTGGGAGGAGGGGGCTTTGTGGTATCCGTAGTAGAACATCCAGATTCAGCCATAGTTTCATCCCATACAGCAGTGTTTCCCAAACTTGACAATTTTAAGGCATGTGGACTTCAACTCCCAGAATTCCACAGCCAGCGTTGCTGGCTGTGGAATTCTGGGACTTGGAAGTCCTCATGCCTTAAAATTGTCAAGTTTGGGAAACACTGCCATACAGGATTAACCTTGTGAACTCTCAAGCTTCTTCCTTCCGTTATATATTCAAGATGGACAATATTTAATATTTATTTGTTACGTATTTGTAGGGGTGTCGGTCTATACATATGTATAGTATGTTATAGGTGTGTGTCATGTATATGTTTCACTTTGAGAGCAGGCAACTAAATTTAATTTTTTGATGTGTGCCATTGTGCCCAGTAAAAAAAAAAAAAGACAATAAAGGTTATCTTATCTATCTTACCTTATCGTGAGACTTCCAGAGATCATCCACGAGGGCAGCCAAGGCTTCCTCCAGAACCAGGACTGAACCCAGACCGAAAAGGGTCCGAATAACCCGCTGCATCCGGGGCTTCTGCACCTGAGCACCACCCACCCTCTCAACAGCCCCCCTCCCCTCCCCCAATCTCTTTTTGCTCAGTTATCTCCTGTTGCAGTTTCTTTGTTTAAGTAGGTCTGTTCTCTCAGCATTTGGACATGATGCCACTTACATGTGACTTTTTCAGAGCAGCTGGGGACCCTTCCAAAGTAGCCCTTTCCTCTCTTTGGGGCTGCATGTCAGCTGTGCCCAGGGGTCTTCTCCCACTGCAGGCCAGGGCCAAGAAAGTTCAACACTGAAGATTCTTGATCCATCCCTGCAAGCCTTTTACAGCTGAGGTGGCCCTTCTCTGCAAGGCTTCTGGAGGAGGGAAGGTCAGAGGGCTGCATGGAAAAGCTGCCCTCTTCCTCTTAGCCTCTGGTCAGCCTCTCTCCCTCCAGAATTCTCTCTCTCTCTCTCTCTCTCACACACACACACACAATCCCACACTCCTTCACTGACAATCCCTTGCAAGCAAAAACCGAGTCTGGGAAAGAGTCTGGCAAAATGAGTTAGGGAACAAAAGGGAGGAGGTTCGTTCTCCGAGCTTATGGGTTGGTTTTTGAAAGTTTCATTATTAGGCTAGGTAACATATTCAGCGGAGTTAAGGGAATGAGCCCCAGTACCTACAGTTGTTAGTTGCGAAGTCGTGTCTGACCCATCGCGACCCCATGGACAACGTTCTACCAGGCCTTCCTGTTCTCTGCCATCTTCTGGAGTCCATTTAAGCTCACGCCTCCTGCTTCAGGGACTCCATCCAGCCACCTCATTCTCTGTCCTCCCTTTCTTCTATTGCCCTCAATCTTTCCCAGCCTTAGGCTTTCTCCAGTGAGTCCTTCCTTCTCATTAGGTGGCCAAAGTATTTGTTTCAACTTCAGGATCTGGCCTTCTAAAGAGCAGTCAGGGTTGATCTCCTCTAGGACTGACCGGTCTGATGGCTTTGCAGTCCAGGGGAGTCGCAGGAGTCTTCTCCAGCAACATAGTTCAAAGACCTCAATTCTTTGGTGCTCTGCCTTATAGTCCAACACAGTCATACATTGCAACTGGGAAAACCATGGCCTTGACTATACGCACTTTTGTTGGCAGGGTGATGTCTCTGCTTTTTAGATTTGCGATAGCTTTCCGTCCCAGGAGCAAGCATCTTTTAATTTCTTGGCTGCAGTCCCCATCTGCGGTGATCTTGGAGCCCAGGAAGATATAAAATGTCACTACCTCCATTTCTTCCCCATCTATTTGCCAGGAATTGAGAGGGCCGGATGCTATGATCTTGGTTTTCTTAATGTTGAGTTTCAAGTCAACTTTTGCACTCTCCTTCACCCGCATCAAGAGGCTTTTAATCTCAGCTTGTTACCTGTATAAAAGACACCTGTCCACAGAAGCAATCAGATTCCAAACTCCACCATGGCCAAGACCAAGGATGTCAGGGATAAGATTGTAGACCTACACAAGGCTGGAATGGGCTACAAGACTACCACCAAGCAGCTTGGTGAGAAGGTGACAACAGTTGGCACGATTATTCGCAAATGGAAGAAACACAAAATAACTGTCAATCTCCCACAATCTGGGGCTCCACGCAAGATCTCACCTCATGGAGTTTCAGTGATCATGAGAATGGTGAGGAATCAGCCCAGAACTACACGGGAGGATCTTGTCAATGATCTCAAGGCAGCTGGGACCATAGTCACCAAGGAAACAATTAGTAACACTATCCTGTGAAGGACTGAAATCTTGCAGCGCCCACAAGGTACCCCTGTTCAAGAGAGCACATGTACAGGCCTGTCTGAACTTTGCCAATGAACATCTGAATGATTCAGAGGAGAACTGGGTGAAAGTGTTATGGTCAGATGAGACCAACATTGACCTCTTTGGCATCAACTTGCCATATTAGGAGGAAGAGGAATGCTGCATGTGACCACAAGAACACCATCCCCACCATCAAACATGGAGGTGGAAACATTATGCTTTGGGGTGTTTTTCTGCTAAGGACAGGACAAGTTCATCGCATCAAAGGGATGATAGACTGGGCCATGTACCGTCAAATGTTGGGTGAGAACCTCCTTCCCTCAGCCAGGGCATTGAAAATGGGTCATGGATAGGTATTCCAGCATGACAATGATCCAAAACACACAGCCAAGGCAACAAAGAAGTGGCTCAAGAAGACATTAAGGTCCTGGAGGGGCCTAGCCAATCTCCAGACCTTAATCCCATAGAAAATCTGTGGAAGGAGCTGAAGATTGGAGCTGCCAAACGTCAGCCTCAAAACCTTCATGACTTGGAGAGGATCTGCAAAGAGGAGTGGGACAAAATCCCTCCTGAGATGTGTGCAAAACTGGTGGCCAACTACAAAAAATGTCTGACCTCTGTGATTGCCAGCAAGGGTTTTGCCACCAAGTACTAAGTCATGTTTTAATAAGGGGTCAAATACTTCTTTCACTCATTAAAATGCATTTTTTCTGGATTTTTTTGTTGTTATTCTGTATCTCACTGTTAAAATAAACCTACCATTAAAATTATAGACTAATCATTTCTTTGTCAGTGGGCAAACGTACAAAATCAGCAGGGGATCAAATATTTTCCCCCCTCACTGTATAGACTTGGTTTACCTCCTGGTTACTGGAACAGGTAGCTTATGAAACTTGGCTTAAGGAGGCCTCGCTCCTCTGGCTGGCATTATCCCATGACTTTGGGCAATAGCTAATAGTTTTTCGCAGTAATTGTTAAGAGTGGAAGACTAAATCTTGTCCTTTCAGATGCACATTTTGCTTTCCAAGAAGTCCAGGGTGTGGGGGGGGGCAGAGGAGGACTCTGGGG